GTTGTTTTTGTGTCTTTCTGTTTTCCTCTCTAAATCTTTCTCAGGTTTGGAAGAAACGAATCATCTTTATAAAACAACCAGCAAGTAGAAAGCTTTGGATTTAATTATCTTTTATCCCTATGGTGTCCCACTATCTGTCCTCAAAGAGCCTAGGTCACTTCTTATGAAGTATTTTTATACACCAAGGGAGGACTTCTCCCTGTCACAGATGCTGCTCTGGTGTTCCCTAAGAGCCTTACTAAGTCTCCTCATGCCTCTGCTTCCTCTCAGACTCCAAGACTGTATTCCCCTCCACACCACAAGAATAGCAATGCCCTCTTTAGTAGGGCCTGCTTCTCCTACTACTGAGGAACTGGAACTCTTCATGAAGAAAAACATTTCAGTTCTATTAAATTCCAGTTCCCCTAGGGAAGTCATTATCTAAAACTACAATTTGCTGTTGCCATTTTCTGAATGCCTGGACTGAATACGTGAATGTCTCTTAGATACTGGATCACTGAGGCGTTGCTATCTTCTGTCTTCCAGAGAGGAAATGGAAGTAGCTTCCCTATGCCTTCTTACCCTGTCTATATTCTCCATCACGCCATTCAGTCTTGCAGAGCCTCTGTGGAATTCTAGAAATTAATGAGCTGCATTTCAGAGGATCTTCTGGGCAGAAGGGCCTAGGTCTGCCTAAGTAACACCTGGAGAATGTCTGCACAGGCAACATTTGTATTTCTACTAGCTGAAACCGCTCCAACAAGCAGAATCACCTCTACTCCAAAATCAAATATTTATAATCTTAGGCATGACATTTCTTAGGTCAAACCCCATTCAACAAAGACATATCATGTCATTCAATTTAATTATACTAACTACTATAAAAGCTACTACTACTACTGCCATAACAACAATAATGACCTAGACTAATGACTATTTCTACTGTCACTTATGCAGAAATTACTATGATAAGTGATTTATATACATTCTAACATTTAATTCTATCACAGCGACATTGGCATCTTAAATTTAATTCATGATATCTAGAGACCTGTGCACTTAACCAGTTTAATTTTTCCACTCTAACAGTAATTAACCTCATCCAGTGGGAGATATATTTTGTTATGATCTGACTTGTATTTCATGAAGACCTTATTTGTCTCTGTCTCAATCTTGGCATGTCCCAACTTGGCATGTACTTTGTGACCCATTCAACACACTAACCATGGGTTAATAAAAACAACTGCTACTCTAAATCTGGCAGAGTTTGCTTCTCTATAATACCCCCTTGTGAAATCTCCAAGATTGATCCAGAGGTTTTCATGTCTGTGTCTAACGCTGCTTTTCTCTGATATCAGTGACTCTGCCCTGTTAGAATGGAGTCAACAACACACTTACATGAAGTGTATTGTTATCTCTCACTACGGCCAAACCCCCCCCCACACAATTTCAGTTCTCCCACTATAACCTTAATCATTACAGTGCTTTTTCGTTGAAATAATTATAAAGCCTCCTAATCTCTGGCTGTGGTACCTAGTGTGCATCCAAGTTTAAGTAGGCATCTAGGCTGTATTCATTCATATTTCAGTGTCTACCGTCTGCTAAATACAGAGCAGCACCTATATGGAGCATGTCAATCGTCTTAGAAAACTTGCGGCCCATGGAAATAACAGATGGCATAATGGTTACATCACTGGACTCCCACATGGCTGACTGTAGTTTGAGCCCTGGACCCAGAAGCTTGAAACTAACACTGCGTGAGTGTGAGTGCATGTCCAAAATCCCAAGAGGAGAATGGAAGAGAAGGGATTGCAGCATGGCCATCCCCCCTGGGGGGTGATTTCTCTCTTTCTGCCTCTCTGTCTCTCTCTGTCTCTCTGGCAAGCACACACACACTCTAGAGAAAAATCTCTCATTATAAGACAAACAAACAAGCAAACAAAAATTTGCTGCCCACATTGGGTCCCACCTCACTCACTCCAACAGCATTAACCCCTAAATAGCCCATTGTTTTTGTTTTCCACCTACACCTTTCTCCTCAGCCGTGGACTTCCCCTCATCCCATTTGGTAACACTTTACAAACTATTGTCAGGGCCAGCAGATAGCACAGAAGTTAAGGCATTGGATTCCACATGGCCAACCACATGACTCAAGTCCTCACCCAGCAGCTTGAAAATCATGCCATATGAGAATGCATGCATGCCCTAAATCCCAAGAAGAGATTGGAGAAGAAGCAACTGTGGTATGGTCATCCCCCTGGGGGAGGTAATTTCTCATTTTCCCTCTTTATCTCTCTCTGACAAGTGCTTGTGCCCTATAGCAAAAAATTGACAAATGAACAAAGCAACAACAACAAAAAAACTATTGTCAACTAAAAAGGACACATTTCTATACAGGGTCTATCAAAATCAATGAAAGAAGGTGGATACTTCAGAAATTTTCCTCATGTATCTGTGAAGAACATACCCACCACTCATTCCTCCACCAGCTTTCACACGCTCCTCGTTCTATTCCCTAGCTCGATTTCCTTCCACCCATCAGAATCCTATTCCTTATGGATGTGTCAGGATGAGAAAGAATTACAGCTACCAAGGAGCCACCTGGGAGGTGGGACGTGGCAAAAAAGATTAATGAACAACTTTGTTCCCAATGAGAAAACAACGTGCACTCTCAAATGTATACAACCATTTACCTATGCAAAAAAGTTAAAGTAGAATGACCTTGGGATGAGAGAGATCACAAAACCTAGGTCTCAGTTTTAAAGAATTATTTATTTAACTTTATTTAGTTATGTATTTATTTTTAATTTAACCAGAGAGAAACAAAAAGAGAGAGAAAGAAGGAAAGAGAGAAATAAAGCTGCCAGTTCCTGTGGGAGTTCAGTGCCCCGCACCACCACACTACCTGCCATCCCCTTAGGTGTCCAGATTTATGAATCTTTAAGAAATACATACATAACATATGCTTATTGTAGGAATACTAGACAACACTGATAGTCAAGATGAGGAACATAAAAATCACGTTTAATTCCAACATCCAGGTACAATTACACAAATACTTTGCTGTTTACTGTCCCAGACACTCGCCTTTTATTGGGGATTGGTAGGTGGTGTGCAGAGTAAATTGTATTCTGCAGCTTTTCCCTTAATGATCAATATTAAGCATCTCATCTTCCTATTAAATATTCTCCTACATAATTTTACATAATTTTGGCATACATTTTTTTAATAACCCTCATTGAGTATTTTTAGTACTTTGTTTTAATGTTATTATAAGCAAGGCTTTAATGAATGTCATGTATGTTGTAAACATCAACAAATCAACAATTCCCGATTATTGCATTTACATGAGTAATAAAATGTTAGGCATTCACTTGGAAAAAAATGGCATTGGGTCTATGAATACTTCACTACCAGCCAGTCCCTATTAGAAACACTTCTGCTTTTATGGTTTCACATTTGATGCCTTGCAGCATCCAAGGGACAGCTTTCCTCTGCTTGGACAGCAGATAGCTATACACATTTACAAGGACATCAGCCAGCAGAGTGATAACAGGGCCTGAGATGATCCATACTTTGCTTTGTGGGGGATAGCTGGCAAAATTAGGACTGGCCTGCAGTACACAAAGCAGGAGGGATTAGAAATAGGAAAAAAAAGGCAATACTTACCAAAACCAAGTAGAGCAAGTGCTTTGAAACTTAGTAAACGCCCATTCTAGAAAGTGGGAAATTGAGTAAGAAAAAACTCACCTAAGAAACCTGAGCCAGTGCAGTGTCTATGATGTGACTGGTGTAGGTTCTGTGATGCTGGAAGCCACAGCTGACTGTGGGTTCAGATCCCTGGCTCAGTCGACCTGAAATATGCCAGGTGCATGTGCACACCCAAGGTCCTGCTGAGCTGGGCCAGTCTGCCAGGAGGGGACTTCAGTGTGACCAGACTCTGTTGAGGGCAGGTCTCTCTCTCTCTCATGAATAATATTTTAAAATCTTCAAAAAAGCAAAAATTTGAGCCATTTAAATAATGGTTTTGTGGGGACGACAAGTGGTCGTTAAGTTAAGGAACTGGACTCCCACATGGCCATCTGTGGTTCATGTCCCGGACCTGGTGGCTTGCATTCTCAGTTTCCCTCTCTCTCTCACACTTTGTCTCTCTCTGGTCAAATTAAAACTAACAACAATAATAGAAAAGATAAATAAAATAATTCTTAAAAAAAAAAGAAATAACGGCTTCATTATCTTAGAAGACGCAATATAACGGTAATATATCATAGTGTTGAAGAGCCAGACTACGGAACTAGACTGCCTGCAATTGCATCCCAGCTCTGTTATTAATAGAAAGGGACCACGCTGATTTTGATCAACTTTCCTTCTGTTATGATCTGAATGTTTGCATTCCCCCAAATTCACACATGAAAGCTTCATCCTCCCACACAATAGTATTAAGAGGTAGCACTTTAGGGGTGGAGTGAGGTTAGTGTCTTCATAAACTAGGTTTACAGGAGCTTACTTGCCTCTCCTGCCATATGAGAACACATAGAAAATACCACCTCCGAGGAACAGGCCATTACTAACACCGAAACTACAGGCACCTTGATCTCGAACCTCCTGGCCTCCCACACTGTGAACAGTAACTGCCTGTTATTTCCTCAGCCTAAGTAAGGCATTGGGATAGCAGTCCCAGTGGACTAAAACACTCACATTTTCTGGTGCCTATTTCCTCAGTTGTGTGAAGGGGATAGACAGTGTCGACTTCAGAAGCTGGCTGAGGAGCTGAGGGTATTAGAGAACTTCGTGAGCAAAGGCACTTAGAACTGGGTGTTTCTGACTCTTTATAAGCAATATACATGTGGTAGCTCAAGATGTCGACTTCCCCTGGCATTGAGAGGATAACCTTTAATCCTTTTAGCACCTACAGGACAAAAGAGTGGTCAAACAGTTGCCAGCCTCTGCTACTTCCTCTTTTGCTAATTATACAAAACCTATTCTAATAAGTACATTTCATTCTCTGTTCACAGGTGGCAGCGAGAGCGTCTCCGCTCAGACAGCCGGGTCAGGGCCTCATGCTGCTGTGGGCGCTGCTGGTCATCTTTGGTGAGTTCAGTCCTTTGAGTCAGGACGGAAGTGGCTGCAGGGTGAGGGCTCCATCTCCTGATGAGTCTGAGGCTTTATCAGAGAACGGGAACTAGCAGGAACCCTCCAGTCTCCACGTCGAGCTCAGGTTTCCAAGGCGGGTACGAAGCAGTAAGCTGGAGGGATATCAAATCGCAAGTCCTTAATCCTTCTGTTCAAGGCTGGCCACTTTACCATCTGTCGATGATGAATTTCTGTCTCAGTATCTTAGATCTCTTCGAGTACTATCATAGTCTCATGAATAAAATGTTTATAATCTCAGTGTTTAATATTCCCCTCTCCTCCATGAAAACCAATTATTCAAAGATTTTGGTTCCGATGATGCACTGAGATCATTTGCTAATGTTTCTCTGTTTAATCTTGGGCCATGAGGGAGGTGAGAGCTGGGGAATAAGTTTCCTCTCTGTATCCCGGCAGGCACTAAATGAATATTTGTTACTGGAGTAAAAGGATCTAACATAAAATACAGTCTGAGGAAAGGGAACACCTATGAGTGGGTTCGGCTCTCATAACTCTCACTGTGTGTTTCCTGATGAGCCCTTTCTTGACTTGGGTCTGTGCTATTGTGAAGCGGTGTATGTCTACCACTGGAAAAGCTCAGGGGTGAGGGCGGGCAGTGGGGAGGGAGAACGAGAAAGAAACAAAGCAGAGGATCGCTAAATATCCCACACCCATGGGACTGGATCCTGGCAGTCGCTCTGGGCCCTTAAGGGATGGGCTTGCAACTCACCTTGCCATTGTCCAGTGAATGAGGACTGCCATTTGAGGGAGATGGCATTGTTGGTGATGAGGGACGGGGAGATAGAAGAAGTTCCGGAAATGATCAAGTTTCTAAATTACTAGGACAAATGCTCTGTGCTAACCTCTGGCCTTTGTTTCTCTTACAGTTCCCATCAGTGAACAGGCAGGTGAGTTTTCCTTGTCTTTGTCACTCAGCCACCAGAGGGTCCTGTAGGGATGGCCCTAGAAAGACTGTGGAGATGTCCAGATGTTGGCTCCCAGGGCTGACGTGCTCTGAGGTCATGCAACCTCTCTGTTCCAGACACTGTCTGTGTGCTCAGGTGATAGGCCCACCCAGCCTTCTCAAGGCTCCTGATGCCTGCCCTCTGTTAGAAGCCCAAGTGAAGGGAGAGAAGTAACACCTGACAGAGGATGTGCAGACTGGAAAGAAGGCCAATCTTTTTTTTTGGAGAGGTTTTTGCTATAGGGCGCGTGCGCTCGCCAGAAAGACAGAGAGAGACATAGAGACAGAAAGCGAGAAATCACCCCCCAGGGGGGATGGCCACGCTGCAATCCCTTCTCCTCCATTCTCCTCTTGGGATCTTGGGCATGCACTCACACATGCCTGGCGTGCGTTCAAGCCACGAACCACGGTCGACTACATGGGAATCCAACAACATAGCCATTATGCTAATTGCTGGTCCCAAGAGAGCAGACCAATCTTGAGAGAATCGTTTTCCTACTCACCAGACTATGACCCCTCAATATTGTCAGAACGAATGCAGAATGTCCTCACATTTCTGAAAGTAGCTGTAACTGAAGAAAATCTCAGGGCTAAAGTACTTCTGCATGACCAAAATCAAGATGTAGGCTCAGCTTCAATGGTGCAAGTGGCAGGGCACTGATGAGCTAGCCTGGGGCCACAGGGAGGCCTGGGTTCATTCTCTGGGGTCCTAGCTAACTGGGATGCTAAGGTAAAGGATTGCATCATGGCGAGACTGTCAGAAATACCTCTCTCTTTCTCCCTCTGACTCTCACTAAAACAAAACGAAACAAAAAGCAATTTGTACTATCACTAGATCAAGAGTTAGCCAACGTTTTTCTGTAACAGGCCAGATTTCGATTTTCCAGGTCTGTCTTAAACACCTCAACTTGGTTGCTGGCTGCAGAAGAGCTGCTGCAGGTTGTATGTAAATTAATGGTCACGGCAGTGTTCCAGTAACACCGTATTTACCCAGACAGGTTGCTGACCAGCTCACAGGCCATATGCCAATCCTTTTCTAGACTCATCATTTAGTTCTAAATCATTTTACTCATTAGATACTCTTTTAAAAGTGAATTTCCAGAGGGTTCATGCTCGCAGCAGACAGAGACAGAGACATGGAGAAAGAGGGAGAAAGCACTCCCAAATAAGGCATGGTTATGCTGTAATCTCTTCTCCATTTTTCCATTCTGCTGGGGTTTGGGGCACACACTTACTCACACTCAGCATGTTTTTCAAGCTGTTGCAGTTGGGATTTGAACCCAGGTTGGCCAGGTGGATCTGGCCCCCTTAGCCAGTAGGCCATGGAGCCAACCTTCATGTGTTACTTTTTGAAAGTTGGGCAACTCAAAATAAGTTAATCTCACTCTTTTTTATTTAAAGTTATGCTTGATAAATGAATATAAATAAGAAAAATATTGTATTCAATATTGAGAATCTCCATGTGAGAGAAGACTAAATCTAAAGAAAGGGACAATTGTTTTTCTGCCTAGCCAATGCTAACCATCAAGTAGAATGGGCTCTTTGGGCTCTGAGGGCCTGTGCTGGGTATAAGCAGATTCCCAACTCACCCTGAATAGAACAGCAAATGTCCAGACACACCTACCAGGGTGCTGGCATGGGTCTGTTTGGGAGGAAAGTTCACCTCTTCCATTCATTCTGTCTCATGTAAGGTCCCTGAACCCTACCTTGTGACATACATCACTCCACTTCCTGTCTGGATGGAAGGCAGAGGAAGCCACAGACTCAGCTATTACTGAGTCTCATGTGATGTGGGGCAGCATCCCCAAAATGAATCACCCAAACCATTTAGAGAAGAAAAGAATATTTTCTCTGTTCTCAGAAAGCACCCCCCCATACCTTTTTTGAAATAGTTTTCTATAGAGTGTGTGTGCTCACCAGAGAGAGAGAGAGAAACAGAGACAGAGAAAATGAGAATTCACTCCCTGGAGGGGATGGCCACACTGCAATCCTTTCTCCTCCATGCTCATCTTGGGATTTTGCACACACATACATGCACCCAGTGTGACTTTCAAGCCGGAGGGTCTAGGACTTGAACTGTGCTGTCAGTCATGTGGGATCCAGCTGCCTTCACCTTCACACAACCTGCCAGCCCAGATTTCTCCCTTTAATAAAGAACAAAAGGGAACTTACTTCAACATGTTGTGGCATAAAGAGCAGGAGAGGGACCAACAGTTAGCGAAATGGCTATGTCGCTGAACTCCCATGTAGTCGACCGTGGTTTGAGTCCTGGACCCGGTGGCTTAAACTCACACCGGGCGCATGTGCGTGCATGCCCAAGATCCTGAGAGGAGAATAGAGGAGAAGGGATTGCAGCATGGCCATTCCCCCTGGGGGGTGATTTCTCGCTTTCTGTTTCTCTGTCTCTCTCTGTCTGTCTGGCGAGCGCAAGCACCCTATAGCAAAAAACTCTCATAAAAATTAAAAAGAGAGAGAGAGAGAGAGAGCAGGAGTTATACCACTTGAAAGACCAAATTCAAATAGAGATTTGCTAATGTCCACTACATACGCTGGGCAGTCAGTTGGGCTCTAAACTCCAGAGAACAGTCTCTGGCCCGTTGAGAATTCCACTGTCCTGCAAGGTGTGAAAGTGCTGGTTAGCATTAGCAGCTGTGAATGTCTTTCTCCTCCCGTCCCCCTAAGGGGGCCTTGTCTCTCATTTCTAGTCCCACTTACATACCACCTGGGACTGTCCCCTTGAATGCACACCTCTGAGCAGCATCATTTGGGTTTTGCTTTTACTACTGATCTGGTAAAAATGTTTTTCATTAAAATTCTTATGGAAAAAAAATTTTTTTTCAGCTCCCTACATCTTACCTCTGGTTAATTCTTTCTTTGTGGTCCTGTTTATTTGCTCTTCCTAAAGTCTACTCTGTTCACAACCTAACCTTCTCCCTGTCTCCTACCATGGTTCATCTGACACAGGTTTCTTCTCTACTTTACGAATATTGGCAGGATTCCCGATGGATTCCTCTACATAGACAGCCACTCTCAGTCTGACTGTGTCAACTCTAGTTTACTAGAGGATCTCAAACCCTCTGAAGATACACAAGTCAGCATTAGGACTTCATCACCTCACCTCTCCACAGTCTCTGACAGTTTTCCTCCACCAAGTGTTAGTGTATACAGATTAGCATGCCACGTGACAGCCCATGTACCAGCTGCACTGGTGCTGAGGCCACCACACTGCTGGACAGTGGGCATCTGAGTAGTCACAGTATCCTGGGAGCAAGTAGATACAAACACAAGCATGAATCCTGTTTTACCTCTGTGAGGTTCTGATTAAAGCTGTGGACCAACTCCCATGCCTCGCCAGGACATCACTCTCAGAGCTGTTTGATATCGAGTCATATTCATCTCTTTAGGCTCCCAGAGTCCATTTCATCTCACACATCTGAAATCCAGTATTTTGATTGTTCTTAACATGTAGAAGTGATGACCTCCTTATTCTTTCTCAGCATGAACTTCAGCAGCAAAGATACTCCTCAAAGTTGTGAATGTTCATCACTGAGTGTCCACACATGCAAGCACTTTTTTTATTTTTTTACTTTTTAAAAAAATGTATTATTTATACATTTAATTGCTATACATCATTTAGATTATAAAGAGACTTTACTCAGCATGAGATACACCTCAGTACAGCCCAGTTGAGAATACTATACATGTCTTCATCAACAGATAATAAACCATATCTGTGTCCCACAAATGTCTTAACTTTCTGTTGTTTTCTCCAAATTTCCTTTCCTATTCTCTTCTCTTCCCACACTC